GGCAATGAGCAGCATTTTTATTTGTCTGTATTTACCTATGAACAGGTCCTCCCCCTGAGTAATAGGAAAACCAGGTTTGATTTCAGCATTGTCTTATTTTGCTATGTTATTTTGATTTTATATTTTTATGTTTTATTTTATTTGCTGTATTGTTTTTAAATTTGTGTCTTGGTTTCCTACATTCTTGGTCCCAAGTTGGCCGGCCCTTCCAGCTCTAACATTTTATGATTATGGAAGATATATCAGCAAAATTACCAAGTGATTAGTTCAAGTTGCAATACTCTCTTTTTCTTTAAGAATAAATTCTGTCAAATAGTTACTTTGGGAAAAAAAAAAGTCTAGCTTCATAGGTCAATTTATTTTGTTAACCTACTTCTTTGAATCCAGAAACTGTTTTAAAAGGAAGGATTGCTTTGATTTAATGATTTTATTTGTAAATCTGCTACTGTATTTTTTTAAAAAAATAAAGGTTTCTGTGAGCAAGTTATAGAAAAATGAAATATTGGAGTTGTGAAGGACAGTGATCTTTCCGCTAAAATATGAAAAAGGCAAAAGGGCAAACTCATGACTCTGGAAATAGGCACGGCGTCTCTTTACCAAATGTCACACTGTCCGCAAATGTCTGAAGTGTCTCTGAAGGGCTCAGTGGCGATCCAACCAGGGCAGTACCTCTGAGAGTACACCAACACTGTTGGTAACAGGTGACATTTTGGTTATTAATGAAGTAAAGAACTGAAAACAGGAATTTAGTTGGAGACAGCTGGAGAGTCTATTATATGTACACAATACTGTACGTAACCAACTCAGTACTTACGGGACTAAAGGTTAAGACAACTATATTCTTCATGATAATGTCATGGAAGATTTTTCTCATTTTAAAGCAGTCACTTTTGACCTTTCTTCTGAACAGACAGATGACAAAAATTGATAAATGAGGAGCAGGTGAATAGAAAACAGAACACTCTCCTTCAACAAACTGCAGTTTTATTCCTATACTAGTGAGAATGGATGCAAGATGCTTTATAGATTTCTTTTAACCACAGTTACAAATATAAAAATATATTAAGCAAATACATAATTTAAATTGAAAGACTAAGGAAGTTCTTTGTTCAAATACAGTTAGAAACACAATATTGTGGGTGGATGCTATAGTATGAAAAAATAGAATCATCTACTGCCATCTTAACTGGATTTTCAGAGAAATAATAAATGATATTAAAAACTTAAAAGTGCTCTATTATAGAACATAAAAAGTTCAGTTGCTGTATTTCCTTACATTATTTATGCTTCACACAAATGAAGGAACAGCTAGATTAACCTCCATGGACAACAGTATTATTGGACACTGACTACCTAACATCCAAAATATGAAGTCAGGAGCAATTTCAAGAAGTGTGTGTAGAATGCCTGTGAGCTGTGCACTAATTTCCACAAAGTAGGAGTAGAGATGAGATTAAAGACTTGGTCCTTGTTCTTGAAGAATTTATAAGCCCAACAGTCCTGCACAGAAAACCAGAAATACTCTTCCAGTAGAGCATTGGTGCACCCTCTTGTCAATGTGGCAGACTAGGACATTCCACAAAGGCCGGTACAGGCTTTCCTACTAACCTGCAGATGGAATGCTGTCCAGCTGTGCCACAAACTCTTAAAGCCACAATTGCACATGTTCCTTTCTTGATGGGGGTGCTTATCTATGCACACAGGTATTACAACATCTCAACATAACTGAAAGCTTGTTCTTGGGGTGAGGATAGTATTTATTAAAACGGTTATAACCAATCCTTTTTGTGACTGTTCTAGAAGGGACACATTGCATTTGTCTGACATTATTCACAGTTTTGAATAACTTATTTTGGTGTCTTATGTAAGATCATGTGAATTGGCATACAGGTTATAAAAATAATCTTTGGTAAACCTGTTAATCTCTTATTTCCCTTACATAAGCCTCTCTTTTCAGAGCATTCACCAACACTTTCTTTATTTAATAAGTGTATCTTATATAGGCAATCTTTTAAAAAATAAAATGCCTTATTTGTGTTGCATATATTTATTCCAAGGGAGCCTCCCTACAAGTCAAGAGTATTCTCTTAGCCAGAAATACTTCTATTGCTAGAAACATTTTTAGAACAGAACAGATTTTTCCTGTTATCATGGCTGCATCAAATGTTACCCTGCATTTTAACTAAAATGGCCAAACATTTTCAAAGTCATCATTCTCTACAAGAATCTAAGGCAGTGTGTCTAAAATGCCAAACCCAGTACATTTAGTTAAATATCTGGTCAATTCAAAAAGCAAAATAAATTGATTCAATTGTTTAATCAGTTAAACCATCTGGCCAACGTAGTCAGAGTGAATCCTCAAAAGGGCAACATGTCCTAATAGAAACATATGACAGGATTGTCCAAGCACACCCAGGCCACAAAGAAGAGATGCCATTTTATCTTCCTGATGATGTCTGGTTAGATTCTCTTTTGCAAATATTTTCTCTTTGCATCATTTCACTTGCTTTTTGCAGTCATCGTTTACCGATTTTCCTTTGATAGGGAACATTCTTTGAATACCTGATGTAATTCTAAATTTCAGGTTAAAAATAGCAGTGCAGAAAATTAGCACAGCATTTTCTCCTTCAACTCTTCAGGAATGAGGTAGGCTTGAGGGCTTGTTCACTGCAACTTGGAGGAGGATCAGTCATTCCTTATTGCCACTCTATCTTGGCTAAGCAGCTATAATATTTTCATTTCCCCAATGAAATGGAACCCAGAAAGCCCTTGAACTGCTAACATATACAAGCAACTTATTACCTATTGATTTTCACCAGGTCAGGTTTGGTCTGGCTCATATTTGTAAACTAAAACTCTAGAGTGTCCCAGAGTTTGGGCTCAGATACTACCACTGCTGTTGTGCAGATCTGGTAGCTTTATTATTTCAGGATTCCAACGTCAAAGAATTCTCAGAAAGCTAAGTGAATGAGAATTTAGCATATGGCCAATAATATTATTGCAACAGGTAAGGAAAACATAAGAAATTGGATCCTTAGACACCAAGGCAAGAGAATCAGCCTGTGAAGGGTAGCATGTGAGGTCTATTTTTATATTGCTGGACATCTGCTAAATGGTTTAATATTATTTTCACATGTCATTTTGGACTTTCTTCCAAAAGATGATTACAAAATTTATCAAAGACCCTCCCAAAGAAAACTGCCCCAAAAATGTCTGTGTGCTGTGTGCCTTTTAGTATTTAAAAGTGAAATTGGCCAGGTGTGGTGGCTCACTCCTGTATTCCCAGCACTTTGGGAGGTTGAGGTGGGTGGATCACCTGAGGTCAGGAGTTTGAGACCAACCTGGCCAACATGGTGAAACCCCATCTCTACTGAAAACACAAAAATTAGCCAGGCATGGTGGCAGGCACCTGTAATTACAGCTACTCAGGAGGCTGAGGCAGAATCACTTGAACCCGGGAGGCGGAGGTTGCAGTGAGCTGAGACTGCTCCACTGCACTCCACCCTGGGCGACAGAGCGAGACTCCATTTCAAAAAAAAAGGGAAATTATGGTCATCTTTTTGATGATGTGGAACCTGAAAGGATTGTGAAATTATACTTACGAGTATAAAAGATAATATGAACAGTAGATAAAAATCACATTCAATTGGGAAAACAAACATTTTCAACTGGGAGGAGTGGGACAACTAATAAAACAGAGGGACTCAAAGGTTTAAGGGATAGAGAATTACTTAGGACAAATACGTGCAAGCCCAGGTAAGAGAGGTGAGTCTTTGAAAATTCTGATTCAAGAGCTGAACAATTGGCTGCTTTCCAGAGAACACCACAAATAATAATACAAAATTGATTTAATGAGATGAGATTAAAGGAGTTAATTATAACGAACTTGGAAAAATAATTATTAAAATGCTAGATGGGACTCTCCCAAGATTTGATAGCTTAAAAGCACTTTGAAGCCTTGATGATTAAAGTGTATTGCACAGGTGTACAGACAGGATGCCCACCAAGACAGGAGATTGAGTGTTTACCAAGACATAACACATGATGCAATTAAATGAAAATAAATCCAATGGAGCTGAATGTCAAGGAAAACTTTTTTCTCCTAAATTTAATAAATAAATCAATTAATGTATTTAGTCTTCCCAGGAGCAGGAGTGAATAGTGAACTATTTGTTGTTAAGGAGATTTAAAATTGAGTGTAGGGTAGGAATAGACATTTCCTGGGTTGGATTAGACTTAAAAAACCTACAATTTTTCCCTGTCATGTCCACTTACATAATTCTGATACTACCCTAGATGTTGCCAGGGTATGAGAGTGTTATTTACTGTTACAGATGTATAGGTTTTTTATGGTTTTAATTTCTGGTTTGTGCAATTAATTGCTCTGTCTTCTAGATCCAGAGGTTTACTATTGAAGTAGCATTAGCACTTTCCAGTGTGTGGCCTGTGGAAGGTGACCACTGTCCTGGACCGGCTCAGTTATCCCATTCCCTTGATGAGGCTCTTTTAAACTCAACTGAAGGTAGTAACAACAGTCCTAACTTTATGAGGATTCTCTTTATGTGAGTAGAAATGGGTAGATTCTGGAACAGTGCCTAGCAGGTTGCAGGCACTTACTAAAAGTTTTCTGAGTGAATGAAAAGTCAAAAATGAATGTATCCTTCCAGGCATTAATGTGCTTTGCATCAAGCAACATTAGTGTAAAATTCTGCTTTTTTTCTTGCTTTTTCTTTTCCACGTAGGAAAGGTGATTTCTAATAGATGCCACACGTTGTAAATCTCTGACCTCTATTTTCTCACTGGTGGTACATCTACTGCACTTACACATATGTTGTTCCTTTTCATTTCCAGAAGATCCGCTTAGTTCCTTGATACAGAATCAGAGCCTAAGACTGTCATTTCACAAGGGCATTGAGCACAATGAAACTGTGAAACTTTGAAACTTAGGATTATGCTTCACGTTTTTGTAAACTTCAAATAACCCTGGAAAAATTTCCAGATTGGGTGTAGAGTTATTTAATTATAAATAACTATTCTAGGTATAGTCAATGATTTTCAATTATTATGTCAATTACATTCACTGCATTATGGGACTTTATGGTAGATTACAAAAATACATACTTTGAAAAAAAAAGTACTCTTTTTGCAAAGGAAGCTATGCCATCAACAAACTTGACCTCTAATTCCCAAGTTTATTATAGAAAAATTTGTAGTATGAAAAAGGCAAACATCTCCAGCTCATCATCTCAGGTATCTATGAAGATTCCATACAAATGCCTTTCAAATTTTTCCCAGGAATGCTCTCGGAACTGGACCTTGATGAAGGAAATACCCACTTTCTCACTCACTGGAATTTGTTATAGTCACAGTAAGGCACAAATACTGAAGATAAACTTGGTACAGTACGTAGTACCTTTTGTTATTAAATGCAACTTTGGGTGACTACTTGATATTTTGACTTCATTAATTTACTAAAAAGGTTTTTGAAAATTTTACTAAAGACCACTGTTTTTGTTTTTGCTGTTGTTTTTAAATTTATTATATATGATGTTTGTAGTCATTTCTATGAAAATGTTGGCATTAAGTCTTTTAATCAGGCACAGTCTGCCACCATAATATTCTTTTAATGGGAAATCAAGTAGGAATGGATAATTGTGACTTTTCTAGGAATGGAGACCACTGAAAATGAGACAAAAACTAGTGTGCATAAACACATTACAGTATGGGTGTGGATGTTCACACTATGAATGCAATGAGAGGATCTCTAATCACTAGATGGTGCTTTGCATGTTATGTTTTCAGTCTGGGTACAGCTGGCATCTTCTTAACGAAAGGAATTCATCACTTCTGTTTGGAATCATTCTCTATCAGAACCCTCAACCCTGCATCCTACATCCTGGGCTTGCACTGCAAGTTACATGATCCCTGAGCTAACCACTTTGGCTTGAATCCCTGGTAGGAGAAAGGAGAGAGAGCAAGTAGTTCAGACACAACCATCCAGTTCAGCTTTGGTACTGCTTAATTCTTTTTTCTCCCTCTAATCCTTTTTTTGACTGTTACATTTGTCCTAATAGCATGTTTAGGACATGCCTGTTGGCTCTCGAGATTCATGGGACAGCAATGCAGCAAAGCTAGACATAGTATTTGCTCTCTCTAGCCCTGCCCTTTGTCCTGTCCAGTGAATATCAAAACAGGTAGAAAACATGGCCCAAGGGATTGTCTCTGCCACCACCTCCATACACATTTTACCAGTAGTCCTGTCACACAGGTTGAATTAGTTTATGTAGAACAAGTCATGAACACTTTAGTGTGGAAAAATAGTATTATATAAAGCTTAATATTAAACATGAAAAATACATATTTACAGAAGAAACTATAAAATACAACTATGTACAATAATATCTGTTACCTTTAAATTATATAAAATTTTAAACATTCTCCAGATTAATAAATTATACATAGTATCAACAGAAATAGCTGGCACCTCTGTAGGGCATGAAGCAAGTTTTTAAAATCAAAATCACACAGTGAATAATTTTTATCCAGGAGCTCTTCAAGTACATTCTCAATGCCTTGAATAGACTGGATCTGAAAGGAAGAACACTGTAATTAGAGACTGCTGCAGGGTGTGTCATAATTGTTTGTTCTGTTTATGAAAATTACCAATGTGAAAGACCAGCAGAAATACATAGCTCAACCTAGTTTAAGATGAGGCCATTCCTACTGGGACCAGGTCATTCCATTTAGAAACACAGAATATTAGACTTGGAAGGGACTAGTGATTCTAGTCCATCACCTCTGTTTTTATGGATGCAGCCATAGGCCCAGAGAGTCAGAGTAACTTACTCAGGGTTACACAGCTTGTTAAAGCTAGTTAGAGAGTTTGGACCTGAATCTTAGCCTTCAGGTACCTGGTGGTTATCCTTTTCTATACCATAGTTAGCTTCTTTCAGGAGTGCCCAAGGTTACTCTAAAAAAAGATTCTCAAGTCAAAACAAGACAAAGGAACCTCCAAGATCCCTCAGAACTTGCTCTATACTGAAGCCTCTTAAGGAATCTCCCATGCAAAAACCTTAATTTACTATACGGATTAACTGGGGGGTAATTATTTTAGTACAAAAGAATTATCTGATTTACAAAGGACTCCTCTAAATAGTAGCTCTTTATTTGTGCTTTACAGATTGTTAACTCATTAACATACTGGCTAGGCTGGGTGGTACAGAGAACTAAGTAAAAGGTTAGGAGACACTGCCAATTGAAGATCATTTAGAAACAGAGATAAGAGGGTATGAAATAATGTTTGTCAAAGTAAGATTATCTGATTTATAGAGATATCAGTCCACATGGCAAGGAATTGCAGCTGCATCTGCCCACAGTCATGTGAGCAAGCCATTGTGAAGTGACTCCTCCAGCCCCAGTCAAACCTTCAGATAATGGTAGCCCCCTTGTAAGTCTTGATTGCAACCTCCTGAAAGACTCTGGGCCAGAACCACCAGTGAGATAATAAATGCTGATTTAAATTGCTAAATGTTGGGGTAATTTGTTAGGCAGTAACGGATAACTAATACAATCCTCCTTCACATTTGCAATTAGCCTATGTGATAACTTAGGTCTTCATGATGGCCTAGAGTAAGACGAGGCATGAGGACCCTTCTCTTGTCACTTAATAATTGCTTGATCAAAACTGTGCCTTGTGAGGTTTTTTTCTATTGAATTTCCCATTTGAAAAGTGTTACATCCTTATTCTAGAACATTTATAAAATACAAAAGAAGGAAAAATAGATTTTTCTAATCTTCAGGGAAATTTATATTTTCTCCCGGTCTTCTTTTTCCTTATGCATTGTTTTTGTTTGTTTTATGTCCTGTTTTCTTTATTTATAATAAATACCCATGTTATTATAATGTCCTCAAAAATAGCATTGTTTTTAGTTGGTTGTTTTTTTGAGATGGAGTCTTGCTTTGTGGCCCAGGCTGGAGTGCAGTGGCATGATCTTGACTCACTGCAACCTCCACCTCTCAGGTTCAAGCAATTCTCCTGCCTCAGCCCCCCAAGTAGCTGGAACTACAGGTGCGCATCACCACGTCCAGCTAATTTTTGTATTTTAGTAGAGATGGGGTTTCGCCATGTTGGCCAGGCTGGTCTTGAGCTCCTGACGTCAGCTGATCACCTGCCTTGGCCTCCCAAAGTGCTGGGATTACAGGCGTGAGCCACTATGCCCAACCTGTTTGTTTGTTTGTTTGTTTTTGAGATACAGTCTTGCTCTGTCACCCAGGTGGAGTGCAGAGGCACAATTATAGCTCACTGCAGGCTTCAACTCCTGGGCTCAAGTGATTCTCCTGCCTCAGCCTCCCAAGTAGCTGGGACTACAGGAGCATACCACGCCTGGTTAATTTTTAAATTTATTGTAGAGAAGGGGCCTCACTTTGCTGCCCAGGCTTGTCAAACTTTTAACTATGAAAAGCTTCATGCATAATACTTTTTTTTTTTCATATGTAGGGTGGTAGGAGAAATACAGGGTCACAAGATAAGAACATATGAAGGACCCCGATACCTTGATTGCCAAATTCTTTTCCAAAGGGATTTTACAACTTGAACTAGTTGTGATTTCAAAGCATCCTGCCCAGTAGTGGAGCTTATTGCTTGGAAAAGAAAGGCTAAGCAGAATCCTTCGTAGCAGCATCCTCTGCTAGGCTGGAAGAGATACCTTGTGAAACTGCTGCTCAGCTGCGGGAACCCCCTCCCCACCCTCCCTCTCTTCCCTGTTGCCACTCTTTGTGTCTAGGAGAAGAAATGGGTGGTGTACATTGGAAGAGCTTTAAGTTATTAACGGTTTCCAGAATATTTTTCTTTTTTCTTTTTTCTCTTCTCTCCTCCTCTCCTTTCTCTTCTTTTCTTTTTCTTTCTTTCTTTTTTTTTTTTTGAGACAAAGTCTCACTCTTGTTGCCCAGTCTGGAGTGCAGTGGCAGGATCTCGGCCCACTGCAACCTCTGCCTCCTGGGTTCAAGCAGTTCTGCCTCAGCCTCCTGAGTAGCTGGGATTACAGGTATGAGCCACCATGCCTGGCTCTTTTGTATTTTTAGTAGAGATGGGGGTTTCACCATGTTGGCCAGGCTGGTCTCGAACTCCTGACTTCAGGTGATCTGCCTGCCTTGGCCTCCCAAAGTGCTGGTATTGTAGGCATGAGCCACTGCACCCAGCTAGAATCTTTCTCTTTTTTCTTTGAGACAGGATCTTGCTCTGTCACTCAGGCTGGAGTGCAGTGGTACGATCTCAGCTCACTGCAGCCTTGACCACCCGAGCTCAAGCGATCCTCCCCCTCAGCCTCCCAAGTAACTGGGACTATGGGCATGTGCCATGATGTCTGTCTGATTTTTTTTTTTTTTTTTTTTTTTTTTTTTTTTTTTTTTTTTTTTAGTTATTTGTAGAGACGGGATCTCCCTATGTTGCCCAGGCTGGTTTCAAACTCTTAGGCTCAAGTGATCATCCTGCCTCAGCCTGCCAAAGTGCTGGGATTACAGGTGTAAGCCTCTGTGCCTGGCCAGATTGACCATATCTTGATGAAGGAACTTGGAAGTGAGTGAAGTAAGTGCCTACCTCTGTGATACTCTGGATTCACATTTTCGTAGATTGGAAACAAGGGGTTTTCTTGTTCACTCCGTAGCTTCCTTGCTCTGAGGACATCTCTTACACACTGATGTAGGTAGACATACTGACACTGTGGAAAAGCAGAAACATGTCAGAGGAGAGCCTGTTCTCCTGCATGAGAAAGAGGAGAGACTCTCACAAACTATTGACAGTAACGGAATTCTATATAGTTAGCAAATTTCTTGATCATCACTTCACTAATGGTCTCTGGTAAATAAAAGAATGTCTTTTACTACCACTGAAAAGAGAACAATGATAATGGGCAGAGAGGTGGCATTTTTTCATTCTTATAATATTTATGTGTATATATGTATATTTGTGTGTATATATTTATGTATATGTATTTATGTGTATATGTGTGTGTGTGTGTGTATATATAGTATGTTCTGCGAGAGCCTACAACTGTGTCTAGTACACAGTAGATCCTTCACAAATTCAGTAGATGAACGAATGCCAGACACTGCTATGTAGCTTACATAAATTATCTCATTTAATGATTTCAGCAACCTTGTGAAGTAAATATAATTGTCAGTATAAACTGAGACTCAAAAGTAACGTCTCCAAGGTCACACAGCTAAGAAATGGGGCCCCAGGATTTGATCTTGGAGATGTGACCTCAAAGTCATGTCTTTTTCACTACACCAGTTTTCTTATATGAATCCCAATTTCATTGCATTACTGAATGAGAAAATCATTTCCCTGCATACTCTGCTGGTTTGTTCCCTTTATTCTAGGAACATAGTGAACAAAGGAAGGTGTGTACAATAAGCCCCGCTGGACTGTTAGTTCTTTGAGTGCAAGGCCAGTGTCTTATCCACCTCTCCTCTCAGCATCTGAGTTTGCCACGTGGAAGAATCTCAAAGATGTTGGCTGACTGCAGAGAACTACAAGGGTTACATAGTGAGGACAGATCCACCTGTTGGCTATTTGAGAATTTACTACTTTTGAAATATAAATAGATATAGAAGAGTCAGTGCTTTGGTGACCATAAAGACCTCCACTGACCACTGTGTCTCAGCCACAGGCAGCCAAGCTTGTGCACTGGGCCCCCTTCCTTATACTCCCTGAGTTCTCTTACAAGGAAATGGATTTCTGCGGAACTTTCCCTTGCTGATATAGCAACGGCCCAGAGGGAGTCATGAATTGTGGGCTCTCGGCAGCCTCCAGCCAGCCTAGGCTGAGCCATCAGGCTTCTTGGGATCTCAGTTTTCCTACTTATTAAACAAGGAGGCAAAGGTCTCTTTTACAGCCAACATCCTTTGTCCATTAAAGGATATAGATTGATGTCAGTCAGATGGATATTGAAAAATAGTTCCAGACCTTGTGTTTAAGGCAATCAGTGTAGTCAGTCTTAAAGTATTTTAGAGGTTTGAGATACAAAGTAGAACAATTAGGTCTTTCCTCACTAACAATCTTTCCAAGTAAACAGGTACTTATTTTTATGGGTTGGCACTAGATATTGTCCCTGATTGGAAGCTAGCCTGGTCATCTATCCATGGGACTATATAAGGTAGGTCTGGTATAATCAATAGATAAGAACATTTAATTTTTTTTTTTTTAAGAGACGGGGTCTTGTTCTGTCGCCTAAGCTGAAGTGCAGTGACACAATCATAGCTCACTGCAGCTTTGAACTCCTGGTCTTCAGTGATTCTCACACCTCAGTCTCCTGAGTATCTGGGATTATAGGTATGGACCATCAGACCTAGATACATTTAAAAAAATTTTTCTTAGAGACAGGGTCTTGCTCTGTTGCCCAGGCTGGTCTGAAACTCCTGGCCTCAAGCCATCCTCCTCCTTTGGCCTCCCACAGTGCTTACAGGTGTGAGCCACTGTACCCAGCCTTAAATTGTCCTAGAAAAGGACATTTTAAACAACCAAATCAATAAGAAGTGAGGCCTGCAATAATATTGATAACTATTCTCTGCTCACAGACCTTTGTCATTTATTATGAATGTTATATGCAGTCTCAATCTTGAAAATCTGAGAAAGGTATCTGAGAATGGTTGTTAGTATAAAGCGGTCTCTTTTCGCTACCTTAAAAAGGATCCACCAAATTATAGACTGAAACCTCCCTGTTCCCTCCCACCCAAAGCATAATTCATTTTTTCACTTCTACTGGGATATTAAATTACTTTGGGACCTTAGAGGTAAGCTGTGAATGAACTCTAGTACATCTGTGCTATGGCCTATTAATAAATTCTTTAACAATGATTCACCATGGGCTTTGAAACAAGTTAATATCCATTAATTTGCCTTGTCTTAAATATAAATTCTTCTTTTCCCAATAGAATGTCCTTTGAAAATGATTACTCTAAAGCGGTGAGATTGTTAATGTGCTTCTCACTTTATTCTTAATGAAAAGTAGACAAAGCCTAATATATGAATCTCAGATCACAAAAGATAATTTTTTGTTAACTGGTGAAGGCTTGGCTTAGTGTTGACACATTCAGTTCCATTCAATTTCACCAATATTTGGAGTATTAGATATTATTTATAGTATTATAGTCTTTTTGTGATCCCTGAGTGCATGGCTTAGTATTTAGTGAACAAACACCTGTAAGATGATAAACATAAGATACAATTGTGTATAAGGTTTCATACAGAAGAGAAAGCCATTAGGTTCATTTTGAGGGGAGGAAACTATCAAGCTAAAGAGAAAAGGTGATATTTATAAGAATTCAAGCAAAGAAGTAAGGCAACATAACATAACATTTCACATATATTCTGGAAATCGTGAGAAGTCTAGTGCAGCTAAAATGCTGGTTGCGTGGGTCATGGGAAACCCCTCGAACAATGCCCCAAATGGAACCTGAGGTCCTTAGTCCTACAACATCTCAGTGTTTCCTTCCCAGCAGAAGCAAATGAGATCGAGACAGTGACTATCATCTATTGTTCTTTAACAGGTTATTGCTCCCTGAGTGTCTCTCTCAGGGTCAGGCTGCAAATTTTCCTCAAAGCAGCGTAAAAGAAGGGACACTCATAAATCCCCTGACCAATGCCTCTTCGTTTAGAAGTGCTTGCTGTTTGAAAACTTGTGAAGACTTGCATCCCTTTGTATCTCAAAGACAGAGGTAAGTTGAAGTTCACTGTCACCATGGACCCAGAAAAATAATACCAGGGGTCCAAATGTCCTCTGTCTTTTGCTGAAATAGTCACCCACAGGGGCTCAGCCACAGATCACACTCCTCTGCACCTACTCCCATTACCAAATGCAAGCTCTAGCACCAGGGATTCTGAGCCTGTAGAAACAACTCAACTTCAGCAGAGGCTTAAAGCAAGGCAGATGATACTAGGTTGATGCAAAAGTAATCACGGTTTTTGCCATTAAAAGTAATGCAATTAAATGCCATTAAATGCAATGTATGCATTTAAATGCCATTAAAATGCAGTTAATGCCATTAAAAGTAATGGCAAAAACCGTGATTACTTTTGCACCAACCTAATACCTGGATAGCATTTGGAATTTTGTGTGAGAAAAAAGAGAGATAGAAAATTTTATCTTACTGCAATGTTTATTTCATTATGATGGAAAGACTGAAAGTGGATTCTGGCCCAGGTGGGTAAACCTTCCTTAATTTGGCAGACCCTAATCACTGGTGGTGGCTAGTACAATGACATGAAGCTGGAGGAGTAAGTTGGGGTCAGGTTATAAAGAGGCTTGTACCCAGGATGAGGTCTGAACTTCATTTTACAAGCAGTGGTGAGCTTTTCACGATTTTTTTGCAGGGAGCTGACAGAGTCAGCAAGGGAACTTTGATGGTGGCAGTGGTGATGAAGGGATCATTAGGGCGGAACTGAAGGCAGGAGACCCACTAGGAGGCTACTCATTAGCAGGGCTAATGAGAGTTGATAAAGGACTGTGCAAGGGCAGTGGCAGTGGGATGAGGGGCTGGCTCCAAGGGAAGGAAAGGACTTCGTGACTGCTTGGATGTGGAAACTGGAGGAAAAGAAATCCACGCCATTGAGCCCAGGAGTTTGAGTCTAGCATGGTCAACATAGTGAGATCTTGTCTCACCATGTAAATAAACAAAAAATAGAAATAATAAATAAATGCACCTATCCATGCATGTAAGCATGCCAGATGTGGTGGTGCACAACTGTAGAAGATTGCTTGAGCACAGAGTTTGAGTCCAGTCTGGGCAACATAAGACCCCATCCCTTAAAAAATATAAGAAGTCAGCTCCCTGGCTTGGGCAAACACATGGATGGCAATACTATTAAATGAAACTGGAAGGTGCAAGAGCAGGAGGAATGTTTTTGTTGTTTTGTTTGGTTTTTTGAAAGAAAGAGAATGAGTTTGGCTTTGATCTTTTTGGAGTTAGATGGCTGTAAGGCTTCTGGGGGAATCCCTCTGGTAGGCAGGCACTTACAGGTATGTGGAGACAGGAGAATTAGAGTTGGGTAACATGAGCATGTATGGGAATGGAGAATATCACAAAGAATGAAGACTGAGAGAAAGGGTGGTGCCTTGAGGACAGAACCTTGGGGAACTCAAACATTAAGAAGACAAGCTGAGGCACTAAGCCACAGCATCCTCAGTGAGGCAGGAGGAAAAGGAGAACAGAATAGAGAAAAGATGGAGTTATTTCTAAGGAGAAGGAGGAAGCGGAACATTGTGTTACCTCTGCTCTGAAAGTCAGCCAGTTATATTGACAGTAGAGTCCCTCCTAGTTGCCAAAATGCCTCATGAGTTTGGGGCAGGTGTATGGAAGTGATACATGGCCCAAGGATCCTCTGACAATTACTAGGGCACGCGCACACACACACACACACATAAATACACACAGTTTGAGACTATTTACAATATAACCTCCTCTTCCCCAAGTTACAAATTGTGCAAGTGACAGTAAACTAACAAAATATTAATGCTGACTTTTTAGCAACATAAGTGTAGGATATTTGTTCATTTAAAAGATTAAAAAATATAGCCAGGCGCAGTGGCTCACGCCTGTAATTCCAGCACTTTGGGAGGCTGAGGCGGGCGGATCACAAGGTCAGGAGATCGAGACCATGGTGAAACCCCGTCTCTACTAAAACATACAAAAAATTAGCCAGGTGCTGTGGCGGGCACCTGTAGTCCCAGCTAGTCTGGACACTGAGGCAGGAGAATGGCGTGAACCCGGGAGACAGAGCTTGCAGTGAGCCGAGATCGCGCCACTGCACTCCAGCCTGGGGTACAGAGCGAGACTCCGTCTCAAAAAAAAATAAATAATAATAAAATAAAATAAAAGATTAAAAAATATTGAGGATCTAGAGAAGGAAAACAGGTTCCCACCCTCTAGGAATGTATAGTCTGGAGAAAGCTGAAGGTTAATAATTATGATACAGGGTAATATAATTCTGCAGCCTTTGATGAAATGACAGAGCTAGGCGGAGGTCATCAGTGACTGCTAAAACCATTAAGTGAAAGGTTGATGGGGATAACGAAGGGTTCAGGCTGACACTCCCTGAACTCATCGTCCGTTTTCTCAGTGCTGAAAGAGAGACAGACATGGTGATCTGCCTTCTGATGTCATGCAACAGAAAGCCCTCAGCACCACCCACGAAGCATTGAGTTTAATCAGGCCTCCAGATCTAACCACCAGCTGACAAAATCCATGGGGAGTAAAGGAATACATTACCACCATGAAAAAGCAATCAGCCACATCTAGAATGTGGGAAAATCTACCGAACAAATGAGCTGGCTTCTTTAACAAATAAATGTCATATAAAACAAATGGGAGGGAGGATTATAGATTAAAAAATATTTCAGAGACACTTCAACCAAATGAAATATGTAAACTCTGGATTCTAATGAAAACCAACTAGTTTTTTTATAAAAAGCAATTTTTTGAGATAATTAGGGAAATTTAAATACTGACTGGATATTAGATGATATTTAGGAATTATGGTTAAGACACAGATGTGATAATGACATTGTGGTCATAATTTTAAAGACTCCTTATCAAATATATGTATACATATATATACACACACACATGTTCACACGTACACACACATATATACCCATACATATGTATATATGCAGTATATGTAATATCACATATATCCATACAAATGTACACATATACACATGCACATATATACACATACACACATGTACACACATATATGCAATATGACATGTATTACATGGGTACACATACATAGGTATATACATGTATATGTGTATTTAAGGATGAAATAATGTGGTAAGTGGGATTTGCTTCAATGGCGTAATGCCATGGGGTAGGGGAACATTAAATGTGGGATACAGATGGGAAAAGAACACCGAATACTGATTGGGGTTTGGGTACATGGAAACTCACTATACTATTTTTCCTAGTTTTGTGTATTTTCTTTTTAAAAATTTTTTGTGGAGATGGGCTCTTGCCATGTGGCCCAGGCTGGTGTCAAACTCCTGGCCTCAAGTGATCTGCCCCCGCTGGGCCTCCTAGAGCGTTGGGATTACAGGCATGGGCCACTGTACCCAGCCATGTTTTGTGTATTTTTTTAAAACAATTTCATAATAAAACATTCAAAATATGGTGGAATCTACTCCCAGCCCAGGACAATACCCAGCCCAGGACAATAGTGGTGGCAGAGGATCCTGCCTGCAGGAGGCAATGAGGCCATTGTTTTGCCAAATGTGAGTTCTGCAGGATATTTTTAATTTTTATTTTAATTTCTCTGGTTCAACTGTTGCTGGCTTGAATGCAGGATATTAATATGTGCTGCACAAGAAAAGAATTGAATTCAGAGGTCAAGATGGTTTTGGAAATAGTGGGTTCAACAAAGCTCAAAGGGGGGCCATGGCTGCAAGAGTGGCATTGCATTGGCTGCAAGTGGAGCATTGCTGTCTGTGCAGTGTCCTTGGGTACTGTGACTCTAAGAGGGGACACAGAAGCATGTAGAACTTTTTACTTTTCCAACTATGGATTTTTTTTTTTTTTTAAATACAGAGGATTTTCATAGTTAGTTGTAGAAAAATTTGTGAAGCACGAGGGTAAGAGAATTTCAGCCTTGGAAGGCATTGATGCAGAGGAGTGAATGCTTGGTCTCTATTGAGGAAGAGATCTGACCCTGAGGCTAGTACACTTACAGCACACTCAAGGGCCCAGGGTTCTCTAGAATAGTGCCCAAGCCACCTCAGCCACTTCATGGCTGTGGGCTTTGTGCAAAGCCCTTAAGCTTATGGACCTTCATTTTCTAGTCTGGAAATGGAATATAATATGTCTCGCCAGGTTATTGTGAAAATTTAATGAGAACGTGTTCAAAAATGCCCTGCAAATGTCAAAGTGCTGCACAGATGGAAGCATGTGGTCTTTACAATCTACATACACTCCCGAAATGGGGCTGTAGGTGGAGGGATTGAGGCTAGGGGAGAAAAGAGATTGGGATCTTCTTCTTTCCTAACTGAGGTTCTTATGCTCATTTGCCAGCCTATCTTAAAATGAGCCTCAAGATGGTCACCTTCAAGACCAGTGAGATTTGTTTTAAAATAACAAGTCTTAGAAAATATCTATATTCAGTTCTTTTTTTCTCTTCCTAATGTGTCATAGTTATTTCCCCTTGTCAGATTAAAGTCTGGTATTTTTTTTGTGGGAATATAGTGGGGAGGAGGGTGGCCTATAACTTTCAGTCTATAACTCTTACCTCAGTCTGGACCATGTGAACCCTGTGAAGTCTTAGGTCATGCACTGCTCCGTAAATGTCCACAGAGTCTTTGGAGTCTAACTGCTGGAGGATTCGGTCCAATGCAATAAAGGTTCCAGTCCTACCCACACCAGCACTAGAAGAGATGGCAAAGGAAGATCGAGCCTTTTTATTAGATTTGCCTTTCAAGATTGCATCTGGAGACTCTGGCACAATCTTTCTTTTCCCTTCCCAGTTAAGGGAGAAGATAGGAATATTTCCTTCTCTCAATGTGCTCTTTTTCTCTTAAACAAGTTTAACCTAGAGTCCCCCAATCCCACCTCCACATAGTCTTCCATCTCCACTCCCTTCCTGTCCGTCCTCCACCATAAGTCCTGCTCTGCACTTACTAGGTATCATTTCCGTGCATGTTTTTAATACTTTTCCTACATAAAGGTAAATCTATAAACAACATTTATGTTTCAAAAATCTACTGAAACGGTAATATACATGCTTTAGGTATCTTTTTGTCAACTTTCCTACTCAATATTATATTTTCAGATTTATCTATATTGCTACATATAGATCTTCTTCCCTCCCCGAGTCTTGCTCTGTTGCCCAGACTGGAGTGCAGTGGCACAAGCATAGCTCACTGCAGCCTCCACCTCCCAGGCTCAAGCAATCCTCTCACCTCAGCCTCCTGAGTAGCTGGGACCACAGGCGCATATAACTACTCCCAGCTAATTAAAAAAGATTTGTAGAGAGAAGGTCTCCCTAATAGTTGCCCAGCCTGGTCTCGAACTCCTGGCCTCAAGTGATCCTCCCACTTTGGCCTCCAAAGTGCTGGGATTACAGGCAGGATATACCATACCCAGCTGATCTAATTTCTTTTAATTCTCTCATAAACCACTGCTAATCCAGTGGTAATAAGATCATTTAAAATTTTTCTCTATTAAAACATGTGTTGCAATGAACATGAATATATGTGGAGATTTCTCAGGGGTCGAAACCTAGAAGCAGAACTCTTGGGTTGCTCATGGGCACGAACACCTTCAACTTCACTAGGGATTGCCAAATTGCTCCCCAAAATGGTTGTAGCATCTGGGGATTTTTGATATGCACATTTATAAGATAAAGGACAGTTCTCCAGTGGTCCTGGACAAAAATGCCTGCCATTTTTCAAAAAGCAGAAAGCTCCGAGGTGAGTGCCTCACCTTCCTATTAAAAGTGTCAAGGTTCCAAGGACATAGGAAAGCCGGGCACCTAGGGTGCTGGGCTGACAGGAGGGAGATGAGTACACTTGGCATTTCTCTTACTGCTGTAATTCCCTGCTGCATATTTATTAGTGCCGTTCAGTTAGGGCTATCAAAGTATTGCTGCAAACATTAATTAGCTAAATACCAGGCTCCCCAGAGAGAGAGATTTCACTTGTTAGGTTGATTTTCTGGACAGACTGAAGCAAAGAGAAATCAAGAGAACAGAAACTTAAGAAAAAAAAAAAAGTACGACAGACAGAAAGCAATAGCCAGGCGGTGGAATGAATGTGTCGCCTCCAAAAATTCATGTTGAAACTTAATCTTCAGTGCAACAATATTAAGAGGTGGAGGAGGTGATTAGGTCATGAGGGCTCTGCCCTCATGAATGGGTTGGAGGGAACTAGCTAGGTCCTTTTGCCCTTCCATCTCTCCCTCCATGTGAGGACACAGCCTTTGTCTGCTCTGGAGGACACAGTGACAAGGCACCATCTTGGAAGCAGAGACCAAGCTCTCAACAGACACTGAACCTGCCAGTGCCTTGATTTTGGACTTCCTAGCCTCTAGACTGTGATAAATAAATTTCTATTATTTGCTATCCAGTCTGTGGTATTTTGTTTTAGCAGCACAAATAGACAAAGACATGCTACTAGACCCGGAGGGAAGATTAGAAAATAAATCTTGAAGGATAGGTAGGACTTAGGTGGAGAAGAGAGATAAAGCCTTCCCAAAATGGAAGAATGACCAGAGGCAAGAATAAGCTTGTGTGCTCACTTTCCTGGCTAGAATGGGAAGGGAGTTGTTGGGAACTTAGATTGAAGGTGATATGCCTGATGATGGAAAGCATGGAATTCCCATCAGGACTTTGGATTTCAGAAAGTAGGAAAAGAGCAAGAGGGAGAGAGAAGGCTGGAGAGTGAGGGTGAGAGAGAGCTACAGGGGGAGAAAGTGAAAAAGGAGAAGTCAGGGAAGAGGAATGACGTTGGCAGAAGGGGAGGAACGTTATAAAACCCTGTGGGGGTGAGGCAGGCTGGTTGGTCCAGACAAATCCTCCACCTACCAAATTCCCCATGCTTACATATTTTTCCACAGCCCCCTTATGGCTGCCATTTTATTGGCTGCTAGGCGTCCCAGTACCTGCAGTGCACCACAGTGGGCCCGGCACCTGGGCTTCGGTTGATGTAGTCCCTGACAGTTCTCACAAACTGGATCAGAGACTGGGTGGTTTCTGGGACTCCATGGTCTGGCCACACTGTATAGTGAAAGTGGCGGATGAGTCTGTGTGCATCAAGCTGTTCCTCCTGTAAGAGCAGAGAGCAGGATAATAAGAGGAAATGTCCAATGCAAACCTTCAAGCTTGACAACTGAGCCATGGAGCAATTTCTCTGGGCTGAAACTACAAGAGAGGAACCAGCAAAAGTGGGATTCACAGATCTCGTTCATCTCCCCAAGCTCGGTTGTTAAATGAAGTCAAGCAAGCTAACATACACTGCATATCTTAAACTCCCGGATGGTCCACTCAGGCAGGACGGACTCTGAGAGCATCTGCAGGATGAGGTCCCCATAGTAGAGGGAATCTTGGTCTGCTGGCCAGTAATGGTCACACTTTACCTAGAACAGGACAGACAGAAAAAATGTGAGTCCGGAAAAGTTACTCCTTTGTGAACCTGCGGTTTCCCTCCTCCAAATGTCTTCCTGAGTGAGGAATCTGGGATCAGCTGCTAAAGCAATTTGACCATCTACTTTATATTAACCTTCTCATGGCCAGTGCTGAAGCTGAGGTGCTGCTCCAAGAGAAGGAGAGAGCCTGCACAAGGAGCACCCCTAACGCCAGCCTTTGGGTTCACTCATTTTTTAGGCCCAGTGATATATGGCTTGAGGTTTGGGTTTTTTTTTTTCCCCCTTGGCATTTCAGTTCCACTAGCAGGTACACTGTGGTTCACAATGTATTGTTCTTTCTAAAGAAATATCTAGTTGGGTACAGGAAGGCACTGTCTTCCTGGCCCTGCTTCATTCGTATTTTTATGTCACTGTCCTAACGTGGGCCATGTGCCAAGAGATCTTTGAGAAGTTAGAACATTTAGCTAAGCTCGTCTTTACATGTACACAGACAAGGGAAAGAGGATTGTAAGCATATATTTACTGAGCGCAGATACTGGGCACTTCACATGTAATCCTTTTTTTTTTTTTTTTTTTGAGATGGAGTCTCACTCTGTCGCCCAGGCTGGAGTCCAGTGGCGCGATGTGGGCTCACTGCAAGCTGCACCTCCCGGGTTCACGCCATTCTCCTGCCTCAGCCTCCTGAGTAGCTGGGACTACAGGCGCCTGCCACCACGCCCGGCTAAGTTTTTTTTTGCTGATCTCCTGCTTTCACCTGAGAGATCTCCTGACCTCGCGATCCACCCCTTCAGCCTCCCAAAGTCCTGGGATTGCAGGCGTGAGCCACCGCGCCCGGCCGTAATCTCTCTTTTAATCCTCAAAATAACCATATAAAGTGCAGGATGATAAGTGCATTACAAGGGGGGGTTGCTTAATTTGTCTCGATTATTCTTTTACTTTGTGTCTACCAACACAGTCTACAACTCACTTCTCCTTTCCTGGGAGGAGGGGCAGGTCCAGTGACTCTGACCGGGTCTCTCCCCCTGCCATACACTGAAGAATGGAGTAGCCAAGTGGCCAGGTAATCTTTTGGTGTAATGGGCACTGCCAGTAATCCCAGTCCTCAAATGGAAACAGCTTTGACTGGAACTTTAGACCCAGAATCAGAATGAGGCCTCACTTGGGTTTACTATTAGAGTCGTTCGAACAGAGTGGCGTAAGTCACTAGCAATGTTCTCACATGATCCCTACTTGGTTTTGCGGGGTTGCACTTTGATGATGGGGCAGAATTCTGTCCAGGTGGCAGAAAGCAAAGCTTGGATGGCAGGAAGGCTGTTTACTCACTCGGCCCTTCTCAACACACTGGGTCACCATGACGATGTTGTGAACGTTTTGTTCCCACACCATTTTCCAGAAGTCATCCTTGGTGCCAGGAAGCGGTCCCTGAGTGACAATGTATTCTCTTCTGAAGTTGTTGCCCTGCAATGAATTTACAATATGGAGAGTCAGAAACAATGGGCCTCTTCAGAACTATAAACAAAGAGTTCTTCAGATTAAGATGATAGGGAGGTCTCTGCCAAGTCTCTGACTTCAGAAAAAGATACTAACACAAGTGTCAAGGCTTGGGAGCAGGAAGGACAAAGGTCAGAACATTGAACTAGTGTTAAGAGCCACATTCCCTTTTACTTGCCTGGGTCTATTCTGAAAGCAAATGGGGGACTCAGGCACTGATCTAGACAACACTTCACCCTCAATTATATGTGTGTGTCGGGGGTGGCATTTGTGTAGACTGTTTGCGGGACTGTAATCAGGCTGTTTCCCTATTTAATGTAGAAAAGTGTTAGTCATTTTGGACAAGCAATGTCAGAATAATTTGGTAAGGTAGGTCATCCACAGGAAGCATCACGGAAGAGAAACCACTGTCCACTGCGCGTCTACCATCTAATGGACAATCCAGAGCACTGTCCAAGAGCGGGATATTTTCATCTCCTTCTGCACTCCAGCAATGACAGCAATTCCTTGTCGATTCTATTCGAAGCTCTTTCTCTCTCCTCAGGGTCTCCACATTATGTCACCCCTGCCATCGCCACCCCCACCCACGCAAACACTGCCTCTCATCTAACCAATCCTTACTTATCCTCAGCGTGGTGCCTGCTTGGCTGAGCCTTCTTTTATCTTTCTCTCTCCTGGGGGACATTCTCCTCCTAGATGCCCCATGGCAACCTCTAGCCTCTTGCTGCTCAGTGCGGTTCTCAGACCAGCAGCACTGAAATCACCCAGAGGCTTGGTAGAAATGCAGACTCAGCCAGGTGCAGTGGCTCACGCCTGTAATCCCCACACTGTGGGAGGCCGAGGCGGGCGGATCATGAGGTCAGGAGATTGAGACCATCCTGGCTAACACGGTGAAACCCCATCTCTACTAAAAATACAAAAACTATTAGCCGGGCATGGTGGCGGGTGCCTGTAGTCCCAGCTACTCGGGAGGATGAGGCAGGAGAATGGCGTGAACCCCGGAGGCAGAGCTTGCAGTGAGCAGAGATCGTGCCACTGCACTCCAGCCTGGGCGACAGAGCGAGACTGCATCTCAAAAAAAAAAAAAAAAAAAAAAAAAAGAAATGTAGACTGCCAGGCCCTGCCTCAGCCCTGCTGGATCAGAATCTGCCTTTTCACAAGATCCCCAGATGATGCAGACATCTTTCAATGTAGGAGAGGCACTGCTGTGGCAGGTTTCTCATGTCATTGTCTTTTTCTGCCTCAACTCTTCTGAGAGTGCTTTTAGGGTTGGGATTCCATCTTATCCCATGCCTATAAACAGCTCAGTGTTTGACTTACAGTTAGCACTTAATTTCTGAGTGTTTATTGAGTGAGTGGATGGTTGCTTGAGGTAAATATTATTATCTTCAGTTTTTGGAAAAGAAAATGGAGGCCCAAAAAGGTGACATAATGTACCCAAGGTCACAGAGACAAGGGGCAGAAGTGGGATTCAAACCTAGATTTGTTTGATCTGAAAGCTTTTTCCACTGCAGTGTGCTGTAGGAGGGTGGCAAGATGCTAACCAAAACCAGAGTCCAAAGATTTGATATAACCTTTGAGTTGTGTCTGTGGTTATGAAGATTCCAAATAACATGGGATCAACTTCTCTAGCTAGGCAGCTTTAGCGGGGGGGAGGGGGGGGGTCCATCTTCCTTAGGAAGCTCTCATCTAGGTTAAGGACTACAGAGAGTAGATGACCTATGAAAATGGATCCTGGGCTCATTATAATTTCATTTGACTGTAGCCATTGTGAAAAATGTGGCTTAGCAGGAACTGAATTGGATACCCTATTTTTTTTTTTTTATGGCATTCAGACATGCTCTTCTGAAATCTACAAGTGTTTCCACAGCTAAGAATAACGGGAACATGCAGGAGTGGCATCTCCTGTGTAGCCACCCACCAAAGCCTCATCCCGAACACTGGCCTAGTGGGTCACTTACAGGGATGTAGCTGGCATTGATGTAGTCAGAGCAAGGATCATCATCTACATTGGACAGCTTCACTCGTGTGGCATCATCTGGAAGGAGAGATTTGCCGCTGAGTCTTGGAGTGATTTTTCTACAGTTTATGTAATGTGTGTGATGTGCCTTAGCTCTGATCCCCACAACAGCCTCAGATGGGAGGGGATCTTATCTCCAGTTTGCAGATGAGGCTCAGACAGGATCACTAACTTGCCCCACATTGCATAGGTGGCCTATAACCAGTCAGACACAGGAGACAACGTGAAGCCCCATCTGTGCTTCCCTTTGTAACATTACATTTGCCTGATGGAGTGGCCAGCTCCCTTTGACTGCTGGAATGAATACAATCCAGAAAACCTACCTTCTATTGCTTTACCTAATGGGGTGAGGAAATTTAAGTAGAAATTGCTAACCGAAGACTTTGCTAAGCAAACCCAGGTCTGCTTGATGTCAGAGCCCTTGCTGTTAACCCCATTTACTGCTTAGCCTCCAAAGAGAAGCAGTAGGATCACATGGGGGAAATGTCAATAGCATAACAGGCCTTTCATAATCAGAATTTAAACTGGCTATTATCCCTCTGGAGAGAAGTGCAGGAATATACAAGTTACTTCTTATTAAAGGCATTCAGAGCTGGAGATTGTCCATATCCAGTTACATTCTATTTCTTTAGCCCCATTTCGTTTTTGGAGAGAAATGCAGAAATGGCTGGAGGAAGACAGTATTACAAATTCTGACACAAAACTTACAGGGCAATATATTGTTGTATCGATTTTTCCCTCTATTCTCTGGCAAGAGTGCAATATCACATGACTGGTTTCGGCCCACATCTTTTAATTCCTGTTAGTTCAAAAATAAGTGTGTAAGTGGAGGATATGAAATAGAATAAAGCAAATCATACAGTCCTGGAGATACATAATAATATGAAAATAGATACACTAGCTACAGTTTATGAATGCCTGGTATTCAACATGCATTAGCTCTGATCCCCACAACAACCCCACAAGGGAAGTGTTCCTCTCACTATTTTACAGGTGAGGCTCAGACAGGATAACTGATGTGCCCCAGGTCAGCCAAGTGGCAAACCTGAGAATCAAATCCAAAAGCTACGTGCTTTTTGCAAAACCACAGTATCTCCCAGCCAAGCAAACGGCCAGGCTAAATATCTGATAGCATTAGGTCTGCATTTGAGATTTGTTAATTCTTCTTTACTGTCTGATCCAGGTAGCCTTTGGTTTGCTGTGTTATTCTGGAGCTCAAGCTGGCCTCTAAGATTAGATGGTGTATTGTTCAGGGCATAGTTTAGGCATAAAAGAGTGCTCAGCTGAGATTCTAAGCAGCCTCCTAACTTCTGAGCCCAGTCAGCCTATGATTACACAGTAAACATTAGGAAGGAAATTCTGCTAAGAACTAGGGATGCTGAAGCTTCATTCTGCTTGAGTTGTACCTCGTATTCCTTGGATAGAAGGTAGTTGGAGTCAGCCTGTAGCTTCATGAAATGCCCTTCAAACTGATTTATTTTTATTGGACTGTAATTAAAAATGAAACAAAAAGAAAAGAGAGTTACTGCAGAAAAGGGAAAGTGCCATAACCATTCTGACTCATATTTCAAAGGCAGATAATATAGTCATTAATGTGTTCTCTCTCTTACCAGGAAGTTTTCCGGTTACTGTGAAGGGAAACCAAAAGAAGAAGACTTTGTTAGCAAATTTCACATAATACCATCTTCCAACAAATTATATGAAGGCAAATGTGGTGCTTACCCTTTCTGGCCCAGGTTTAAGTGGACAGATAATGGTCGATCCCTACGAATGCTCAGACGGGCAGAAGGTCTTTCTCGACCATGGCTGAAACATAAGGGAGAGAACTTTTATTCTGATGATGATACTTGGCTTGAACACATTTTTCCATTTATGGTAAGGCTGTGCATGTTTGTGCAAATACGGATTTTTCAGTATTCATGTAGATTTGCACTCAGCCAACATCTCTCTGAGGGAGGGAAAGGAAAAAGAATAAAGTAGATCATTCCCACCCCGAAACGGATCTCTGCAAGAACTGAAGATTTGTCTCCTGGTTTTTGGCTACAGGTTATAATCACTTCCCACATTCTCAATAAAACTTTGCTTAAAAAAAATCCAGTAAATTTCAGATGCCAGACACGACTTCAATAAAGAGGAACATGTGCCAAATTAAGAAAAAAAATTCACTAAGAGAAGAAGGCACGACACTGGGGCCACATGCTATTTGGTTCTTTTTGGTCCCTTCTTAAATTAGGATGGCAGATATGGACTACAAAATGGTGATGTCAACCACACTTTTCAGGATATTTCAGAAGAGCACTTGGACATGCAATTTGCAAACATCTCTGTCTTCATGAGGATATGAACCACACACACACACAAATATTTTTTTTCCTGTGCAAAATGAGTCACTTCATCTTTAAATAAAGCTATAGATGGCCCCTCAGTCCTTTGGCAAGGGACGAATTCATCAATGGGATATAAAAGAACTGAGAAAAGTGAGTCATGGCTTTAGAGTTTGACTTTTGTTTTTATTGAGAAAACAGTGACAATTTAACCTGGAAAGATTAAATTATTTTCACTTCTTAGTTTTCAGCCTAGAGGGAATTTTCAGTTGCATTTTTAAAGTTGTGGGTCCAATCATGAAAAGGAGCTTTGTACTTACCTCACTTTCTGTCTGCAGATCAATAAGGCAACAACAGCCACTAGCATGCCAATTAAAAACAGACCAGCACTCACACCTTCAATAGCTCCAAACAAGGGCTCTACAATAATCCAGATAGAAACAACAAACGCAGGTGGGAAAATTAGTGCTAGGGAACCAGTAAGAAAGCTACTGAAGCCATATCTCCCAAGTAATGTTATTACAAATAGAATTCAAGTGATGCCCACGATGAGGCATTTACTTTCCAAAGGCTAGAAGTATGCACCTAAGAAGATGAAAGGCTGGCCCCCACCCGGTAGCAGTGAGGCCAGGTGTCACTGTATACTTTTGAAGTTAGTGGCGTATAGCTTATAGAGGTGTTTTGGACTTTGCACTTGTATATAAAGCTTGGGGCACCTAAGATAAAGGCCATAAGTTTGCCACCAAGATAAAAATGCAATTTCATTTATATAAAACATGTTACAAAGCATTTGGGGCCTTGGAAAATCCAGTGGATTGCTTGGAGCTATTTTAACAAAGTCTTATTTTTATTATCTGGTATGGTACCGCTACTGGGAGTTTATGAAGAGGTAAGAGTGGCCTCATTTTTAAAATAGCTTTATTGAAATATCATTCACATAGCATGCAACTCTCCCCTCTAAATTGTACAATTCAATGGTCTTTTGTATAGTCACAGAGTTTTGCAAATGTCCCCACAATCAATTTTAAAACATTTTCATCACCCTCAAAAGAAACCATATACCTCTTAGCAGTCAGTCCCATTCCTCCCTCCTCACGATCCCTGGCAACCACTAATCTACTTTCTGTGTCTGTAGATTTGCCTATTCTGGATGTTTCATAAAAATGAAATCATAAATCTGTGATCTTTTGTGACTGGCTCTTTTAATTGAGCATAATGATTTCAAGGCTCATCCATATTATAGCATATACCAAGATTTCATTCCTTTTTATGGTTGAATAATAGTCCATTGTATGGATATATCATATTTTGTTTATCCATTCATCCACTGATGGACATTTAAATTGCTTCTACTTTTTGGCGATTATGAATAATGCTGCATGAATATTCATGTACAAGTTTCTATGTGGGCATATGTTTTCATTTCTCCTGGGTATATACTGAGGCGTGAAATTGCTGGGTCGTATGGTAACTCTAGGTTTAATATTTCTATAAACTGTTTTTCAAAGCAGCTACACCATTTTACATTCTCATAAGCGGTGTATGGAAGGTTCTGACTTCTTCATATCCTCACTCTTGTTACTGTCTTTTTGATTATAGACATGCTACTGGGTGTGAAGTGGTATCTTCTTGTGATTTTGATTTGCATTTCCCTAATGACTGCTGATGTTGAGCATCTTTTCATGTGCTTATTAGTCAACTGTACATCTTCTTTGGAGAAATGTCTATTAAGAGCCTTTGCCCATTTAAATATTGTGTAATTTGGCTGGGCACGGTGGCTTACACCTGTAATCCCAGCACTGTGGGAGGCCGAGGCAGGCGGATCACAAGGCCAGGAGTTTGAGACCAGCCTCACCAACATCGTGAAAACCCGTCTCTACTGAAAATACAAAAATTAGCTGGGCGTGGTGGTGCGTGCCTGATGTCCCAGCTACTTGGGGCGCTGAGGCAGGAGAATTGCTTGAACCTGGGAGGTAGAGGTTGCAGTGAGCCAAGGTGGCATCACTACACTACAGCCTAGGTGACAGAGCAAGACCCCGTCTTGGGGAAAA